CCGCGCGCCCCTCCCCGCGGCGGCCGCGCGTCCAGGGCGGCGCGGAGCCGAGCGCCCGCCAGCGCCGCGCCTGCTCCGGGAGCCCGCTCCGCCGCTAGGTGCTTCTCGCCCACCTCGCTCTCTCCCCGCTGCCTCCGATGGCTGTGGCCCTGCGGCCGGAGCCCGCGCGCTGACGGAGAAACTTTTCCTGTCGTTTCTTCTCCCCACCCCCTTCTCGGAGAGGATTAAAAGTTCCAGGAGCCGGTGCCGCCCGTGCCACTTGGGTACTCGCCGGCGAGTTCCGAGTCTCAGCCATGTGCACCAACATAGTTTACGAGTGGCTGAAAGCGTTACAGCTCCCGCAGTACGCCGAGTCCTTCGTGGATAATGGCTACGATGACCTGGAAGTGTGCAAGCAGATTGGAGACCCCGACCTGGACGCCATCGGGGTGCTGGCTCCCGCGCACCGCCGGCGCATCCTGGAGGCTGTGCACCGGCTGCGGGAGCAGGACGCGGCCGCCGCGGGCCTCTATTTCACGCTCGAACCGCAGCCGGTGCCACCCGCACCGCAGGTGGACGCGGTGCCCCCAGGCCGCCGGGGGGAGCCGTGTGGTGGCTCAGCCCAGGGCTCTCGCGGGGACCCCTGTGGCCAGGCCAGCGCTCCCCGCAGCAGGGAGCTGGTGAGCTACCCTAAGCTGAAGCTGAAGATCATGATCCGGGATAAGCTGGTCCGCGACGGCATCCACCTGAGCAAGCCCCCGTACTCGCGCAAGGTAAGGAGGGGCCGCCAAGGGCGGCCTTGGGGACACGGCAGGAGGGGGCCAGGCTCGGCAGTCAGTCTAGTTGACAATTGAGAGACTAGGTGTTTGGGCTGTCTGCTTCTCTTCCTCTTTTTTTTTTTTTTTTTTTTTTTTTTTTTTTTTTTTTTTTTTTTTTTTGTTTTTTTTTTTTTTTTTTTTTTTTTTTTTTTTTTTTTTTTTTTTTTTTCTTCTTCGTTATCTGTGAATTCTTTCCGTCCTGGTGCCACTAGTAATAGCTGGTCAATCAAATTCTGAATCTAAATAGCTCTAAACTAGGTATATGATACCTTATAGCATTTGGCCTCCATTGTCAGGTCCTGGTAATGGGTACTTGCTTTTAGTGGCCGCCGGAAAAATCCTAATGCCTCAGTTCTTGGTATTGAAGAAGACCAAGAAGATGGGTCACGTGTACCTTATTTTCAGCCTTCTTTTTCTTTTTCTTTACTTTTTCTGAGTTTTGAGAAACTTCCCAAAGGAATGGGTGACTATTCCCGAAGAAGTAGGAGAATTCGGGACCTGGTGGTCTCAGTTCTGTGCTTTTGAGAAATGTACCCTTACCACGAACCTGGGGGTGGTGGGGGGAGCTAAGCACAGAATATGTGCCCACTCACAGGAGGCAGGTTCCTTAAGCTTAAGTATTCCGGGCTGATGGAGTGCTGAGCAAATGGGGTAACTGAGCCTCGGAATATGCTTTTGCAGTCTGTTATATTACTAGTTTGACTTGTTGATCCAAATGAAAGGAAGGTAGATTCTTCTAGAAAATCCGAGTGGACATGTTTGAGGGAGGACAGGAGGAAGTGACATTTCAGTGCCTAGAAAGGACTTTTCACACGTGAGGCCTGGCTACAGGTTCGTATAGCTGCTCCGTGAGGCTTGCGGACATGTGGAGCAGGGTTTGAACAATTAAGTATCAGAAAGTGTATTTTCACGCCAGAGCACTGTCTCCAGCTCCAAGTGGGTTGGTTTGGCTTAGTTAAGTAAATTGATTTGGCCTCATTTCTGAAGCCACCCTCCTAGTGAGTGCCAGTTTGGCAGAGACGCTGGCAGCACAGGTAATGTCTGAGGTTGCCTGGAACTCGCAGGAAAATGAATGTCTCCGGCTGAAAACAACCCGGGGAAGCCCAGCTGAAAAGCTGTGGCAAGAACAGGCAGCAGGCTCAGAGAGTAAACATAACAGCACAGGAAAAATGCCTTCTCTAAGTGCCGCCCCGTGGGCAGCATCAGCCCTAGAGGCCCTCTGTAGCCTCAACTGAAGATCGTAATGCCTAACCGAAGCATGTTCAAGGGTCAGTGCCGCAAAAAGTAGATACCGTAAAGAGGAAATCAAGGTTTAATGTTATCTACCTGTTACTTGCAGGTAGAGGAGGCAACTCCGATCACCTGCCTGAGAGTACAAATTGCTTTTATAGGGAGGATAGGTTAGGAAGAAGGTTTGCCTGCAACACGTGTCCCAGCCACCCACTCTGACGATGCCATCGAGGGGTGCAGGGTTCAGGAATGGAGAACTGTAATCAGAGGCTGCACTGGCAGCTAGCCTTAAGGATGTCCAGTGTGGTTAGAAGGGCCACTGTCAGCAGAACACAGGCTTTGGTCCAGGACCGAAGGTGGAGGGGGCCAGCTCAATGTTTGTTACTAATATACAGAAATAAAGTGAGCTTGCGCCAAGAGAAAGAGACGTGTACCTGAGCACATGGAGGGCTCAGTTCAACCCTGGACAAAAAGCGGCAGAGACATGCTAGGGCTGGTTTACCCTTCAGGACTGTTACAGTGCAGTGCCACTGAGAGGGTGGGGAGTGTGGGCTGTGGATGAGAGTGGATGGCATCAAAATAATGCATTTCGGTTCCACTATTGTAAGATAAAACAAGACAAGTCTAAACATCAAACCTAGAAGCTGGAAAGCGCTTAAAGGACAGGTGCAGTGTTTAAGCAGAGGCTTTGAGCTGTGATTCCTGCTTAGATCAACAAGTAGCATGGCGATGAATTTCCCTGTCTTTCTTTTGGCAGGATCTCTTGTTGCTTAGGAACTCATTGTTTAGCTAAGGCTGGTCTTGAACTCCAGATCTTCCTGGTTCTGTGATACTATTTACCTTCTATGTAAAGAGACATGGAAGCCTAAACTGTCTTCAAACACAAAATCCTCCTATCTCTGCCTCCCAAAGTACTGGGATTATAAGCATGAACCGTAGCTTTCAAGTTTACTTTTACCTAAACATCTCATAACAGTAATGCTTATTAATAAAACTTGTCCAGTTTTACTTCTTTTTTTTTTTTTTTTTTTTGCTTGTTTTTTGAGACAGGGTTTCTCTGTGAACCTGGCTATCTTGGAACTGACTCTTGTAGACCAGACTGACTTCAAACTCAGAAATCCATGTACCCATTTCTGCCTCCCAGTGCTGGGATTAAAGGTGTTCTTTTTGTATGTATTTAATTTTTCTGTGGGGGGCAGTAATGTTCTCATTACCTCCTTCAAGATGTTCTGTCGGGGGAGCAAAAAAAATATGGAACTGGAAAACATCATGGTAAGAAAGATGAGCACATACTGATGTAGTAATTAAAGAATATGTGCATGTGAAACTAAACAGACAACTATGGAGTAGCAATCATGTTACTCCTTTGGAATTCTCTGTTTATATATGAGGGCCTCTTAGGTTTTAGATGTTCAGTTGTGTGGGAATTTGATGCAGTTCTTTCTCTCATGAACAGTGCTGGGACTGTTTTCTTTAAAATGTGATCACATCCTAGTTCTGATTTTCTTCTGCTCCTTGGCTCTGTTATGGTCATGACCAGAATGTGCACTGCTCATTATGTCGATTTGGAATTCAGTTTGGTAGAGCAGGCTCGCTCTTTTGGCAGTCGTTATCATGACCAATCCTTGGGATGTAGTACTGCAATGAGAACACTGTGTGCTTGGAGGTAATCACGCCAAGCTGGTCATGGCGGGATGGCGAACCTTCTGCAAAGAAGTATGAGCTGAGAAATGTTCTCGAGAATGACCTGAAAGGACTGTAGAATTCGTATCAGTAAAACAGCCCAGGTTTCATGATCAGTGAACTAAACTATAAGTAAAAAAGAAAGGCTCTTCTGTTTTCCTTCATGTTGGAACATCAGGAGGCTGGGAATAGCAGGCCTCAAGTCAGGAGACACAGATGAGTCCTTTGGCTGCTCTTTTTAGGGTTTTCTATTGATTTCTACCTCTGCGATGGGACACACTTATCTGCACATATGTACAAATATAAATGCATATAATTTTCAGATGCATTTTTATGCATATAACTTTTTGTGACCACACTTCTCCATGCCACACCTTCTTTAGATTGCAGCTTACTGTTTTTGGCAATATGCAATCAATAATAATAATTCTACTAAGTAGTAATGTATTATTTAATAATTCTGTAAGCATCCTGCCCTCTGAGATTGTAGGGTTTAGCAGGAAAGACATAAGATAGAATCCACAATAATAACCATGTGTGATATTGCTTTGATGGAAATCATAGGATGCTATGAATAGGTGCATCACACTTTTTTACATGGAACTAGAAGCATGGGGTATATTAGCAGAGAGGTAGGAGGAAGTAGAATTCTGGAAACAACCAGAGGCCGTGATATTTCAAGGCAGAGAAACTGTTCAAGAACTGCAGCCAGGTAGGACATTAATGAAGTAGATTTATAAAGTTCTTTAAAATTTTAATTTATTTTTTATTGTCACTTTGTATGTGATACGTGTGTATGAGGGGCTGTTGCATGTGCCACGGCACATGTGTCAAGACCAGAACACAACCTGTGGAGTTGATTCTCCTCCACAGTCTTTAATTGAGTTTGAATTTTGGTCACTAGGTTTGCTCGTGAGCCATATTCTACTAAAGTTTTACCATGGAGAATGTCTTCTTCCTTCTCTACCAGTGGAAGGTATTTGAATTAGTATAGCCTAATGTAAAAAAGCTATAGAAATGTTTATCATCATTTACATGTTATTATAAATGCAATTGACAAGGTTCCATGGTAATAAGGCTGTAAGGGAGACTCAGAGGAAGAAATTTGGAGAGACAAAGTTGCTACAAAGGCTTCCGTGTGTGGAGGGCACAGAGCACTAGAAAGGAAGAGATCTTGGCAGAGACATGCTATGTCCTTTGGAATTTTGCCTGGGGTCTTGGCAGAAGCAGATATGACAGTAAATATTATTCCTCCCAAGAATTCCTTCTGCCTGTGTGACATTACCAGGACATATTGGAAGCTGGCAAACTTTATATTTTCACTTCAACTAATATCCTCAGTCTAGATCCTTCTAGGCTTTTTTGTTTTCAGCCCAATTGGAACACTGGAAAGAAGAGATGGGGAGAAAACAAAAAATTGACACTTTCTTGACAGTTTATGATCTATAGAGTTTTCATGAAGGTGGACCCTCTGCTGTCCACCAACCTGTTCATTTGTTATAGTCAACCATCCATACATCCATGCATCCATCCATGCATGCATCTGTCCATCTATCCATCCTTCCTTTCATCCATCCATCCTTCCTTCCATTATTTCTTTTTCTTTTTTTTAAACAAAATGTTACCTTTTTATTTCTTTTTTTTTCTTATCAGTTACATTTTATTAACTCTGTATCCCAGCCGTGTCCCGATCCCTCATTCCTTCCCCAGTCCCACCCTTCCCCATTATTTCTTTTATTCATCCATCCATCCATCCATCCATCCACTCATTCACCCATTCATCCTTCCTTCCATATATCATTCCATCCTTCCTTCTATTCATCCATCCATTTATCCATCCATCCATCTTCCAGCATTTCTTCCTTTCATCCATCCATCTATCTGTCCTTCTGTCCTCCATGTAACCTTCTTTCCTTCCTTCTATCCTTTAATCCATTCATTCACCCTTGCTTTCTTTAATCTGTCTACTTGTATGTTTTATCCATTGTTCCAAACACTTACCTCTCCTTTGTTCCATTTGCCCAATAGTGACTGCATGCCAT